TTTTTTTGATTTTTCGAGACAGGGTTTCTCTGTGGCTTTGGAGCCTGTCCTGGAACTAGCTCTGTAGACCAGGCTGGTCTCGAACTCACAGAGATCCGCCTGCCTCTGCCTCCCAAGTGCTGGGATTAAAGGCGTGTGCCACCATCGCCCACTGGAAGATTTTAAGGTCTAAAGTCCTGGGTCACACGATCGGTAAAACCTTGAAACCGTGACCAGACCAAAGGCTGGTCCGTTTGTTTGTTTCTTTGTTTGTTTGTTCCCAGTAGCTCTCCCTTTCGTCACCTCCCTCTTTCCCACACTCCTTCACTGCTGGGGGTGACCCTTTCATGAGAAAGCACCCACTTTAGCAGTCAGCTCAGGATCAAAAAGTCCTCAAGCGACAAGGAAATGGAACAGCTCCTAAACTGTGAAACATCTGTCAGAGAGATGTCCGCTTCTCTGGGAGCCCTCGGCCATCCTCGCTTCTTTCCAGGGTCACAGTGTCGTCACGAAAGCCGGAAGAGTCAAAGTATGAGTTCTAAGCCATCCCAAGGATGGAACTGGTTGAAGTCCCCATGTTTCATTACTAGATATACATTTAATTTGGTTGATTGCAGCTGAGTACCCATTCCAGTCTTTCCTTTTTCTTATGGCCTCAAATTCCAAATATATTCAAATCTAAAGCTTCTTCGTTTCCCAAAGAGAAAATGTGGGCCGGGGTGTGATTATTGCTTGATACACAGTGCAGGAATAAAACCCCACTGTCCAGTTCTTCAGCCTTTGCTGGTGCTTTTGTCTCCACTGGCTTTCCTGTCTGTCAGGGTGTCCTCCACCAAGTCTCTGAGCCAGCTTGCTTCTTTCCCTCCACATCTGCTTTGGCTCAGTCTGCAGCAGATGGCTCTTGGGTGTCCCAAACTGCTCTCAAATTGCTCTTCTACCAAGGTCTCATCCCACCCTCCTGCCATACCCAGGACTGTTCTAAATGCTGCTGTAGTGTTTGAAAAAAGTATTTAGGTGAGGAAGAATGTGCACAGGCAGACCAACTACAGGTTCTTACAATTTTATTATTATTTTATGTGCATAGTCTACACATATGTCTGTGTACCACGTGGATGCCTGGTACCTGAGGAGACCAGAAGAGGGCACTGGATCCCCTAGGACAGGAATTACAGATGGCTGTGAGTTGCTGTGTGGGTGCTGGGTACTGAACCCCGGTTATCCAGAAGAATAGCCAGGACTCTGAACTGCTGAGCCATCTTTCCAATTCCAAAAGTTTAAAATAGACAACTTCCTTTTTCCCCCCTCTTTTTTATTTCTTATTTCTCCCTCCTCTTTTTCCCTCCCCTTCCCTTTCTTTCAACACTGAATCTCATGTAGCCCACACTGCCCTTGAACTCACAAAACTGGCCTGGTCTTGAACTCCTGATCACCTTGCCTCTATTGCCCACGTGCCAGACGACAGTTCCATGCCACCATGCCCAGCCGCTGGGCTTATGCTCTTGGTCCCCTTCCCTTCTTCCCTTCCTCTCATCCTTTCCTGCCTACTGCC